ATATATATATATATATATATATATATATATATATAAAATATAAAATATATATATAAATATATAAATATATATATAAATATATAAATATATATATAAATATATAATATATATATAAATATATAAATATATATATAAATATATATAAATATATAAATATATATATATATATATATATATATATATATAAATATATATATATATATATATATATATATATATATATATAAATATTTTTTTTTTTAAAAAAATGTTTGACATTCTTTAATTAATAATAATTTTGTCCTGTCTTTTGACATAGGGCTCTCACTGGATCTATATCCTCCTGGAAATTCCATACGGGTTACCATATTGTATCATTGCTACATATATATATATATATATATATATATTATAATTGCTTCACCCCAAGAAAGGCGATTGTGCCACTAAAACGCAAGGGTTACTAAAGATGAAAGAAAATGGGAAAGACGTTCGTGAGAAGAAAGGGCAATAAAAGAACAGTCTCCAGCAATACAGTAGATGATAATTAATGTTGCCCTTAAATTTTGAAAATCTTAGTATAACAGGGAAGCAAGACTTTTTAAGAAAACTGTCCTTGTTTATTTGCACCCCTGTAGATTGAACTGGAATTCGTTCAAAATTCCTAAAAGGTCACCAAACAATTACAACGGACATCTGAAAAACACTGACAGGTAGAAATGTTGCAACTATAATAATGAAGGTGAGGACATTTGTCCAACTAAAGCATTCTTTAAGAATTTTTGCTTTAAAGTCAATATTTCCTGAATAGTCAATTACACGAATAACTTTCTATTCATCACCGAATAATTTTTACCCCACCAGGAAAATTAGGACAAGAATTTGCAACATAGAATATATATATATATATATTTCGATTATAGGTGCAGTTCAATTTATAATTACATGAATCATTCATACAAAAAACAAATATAGAGGTTAATGATTTAAATGGCGAGAATACATCTTCGCAAACAATTTCAATAAGTTACACTAACCTCGAACCTGTATATGAATGATATGATCCCTGTTTATAAATTCCAGTTTCATAAGGTATTTTTTAGTTTTCACAAGCTTTCGTCTGTTCCTACAGACATCATTAGGTATGGAAATAGATTTGTTCTTGTTGTCCTCTTATTACCGAGAAATAAAAAAACAAGAACAAATCTATTTCCATACCTGAGGATTTAGTCCGATGAAGTCCTAAAGGGCGATAAGTGTCACATGAACTTTATCACGGATTTTTTTCAAATTGTTCTGATATTGAAATTTATATATCGTTTTCTTGGAAAGCAAGAAAATTTATATATTGTTTGACTAAAAAGCCAGAAGCCAGAAGAGAGCTCCATAAGTGAGAAATGCCATAAAAGAAACGGTTAGCATAGAACTTACGGTTATATCTAGCCATTTCAGTTGTAAAAGGATGAGACCTAGCCGCCAATCTAGTACTGCACTTAAATTCATACAGTCTAAGTACCATAGAGGAAAGTTCATCAGAACAATTATCATGAAAGTCACAGAGAAGCTACATTACGTTGGTAGGAAAGTGACTGAAACCGGGATGCCAGCTTAGGATCAATAACATTGCAGATTCTTCTTTGGATTTTATCAAGGATTTCTGAATATATAGCAGGAGTTTATGGTAGCAATATGCAGAGAATGGATGAATTCGTGAGAGAAAAATTAAGAATAAAATAAAAATAAAGTAAATAAAATATAAAAAATAAAAAAATAAATGGGTAAAATATATAAAAAAGTAAAATAAATTAAAAATAAAATAATTAGAAAATAAAATAAAATCAGTTAATAAAATAAGAAATAAAATAAATTAAATAAAAATGAAAAATAAATAAGATAAATGAAATAAAAATGAAAAATAAAATAAAATTAAAATAAATTAAATTAAAAATGAAAATTTTTTTTCTTTTAAAATCACCATGCTCTAAATAGAAGAATATAGATTCGCCTATCGTTCGGTTCACACATCTTCGTAGTCATTTGAACAGATTTATCCCTTGTTTCCTGTTTCGGATAGGGTTTCCGGTTCCTTCTAAAGTCTACTTCAACTCTACTTTTAACGTCTCCGCCTAAACTCTGAAATGACATTTTTTTTTCTTCTCTTTTTTCTAAAGTCTGTTCATTCGCTTGTTTTCGCAATCACAACAACCTTGACCTAATCACTATTTTTCCTGCTTAGCCCCAAGAACATCACTTCTTGCCCTTTCTTAAGCTCATACAACACCACACACTAACCCTCTACCTTGAGTGGCTCTCGGATCTTGTACTGAATGAACATTAGTATATAAAAATGAAAAACAAAAAACTTTATAATTTTAAAAAAAATATAGAGATGAAAATATATTTTATATTCCGTATGAAAACAAACAAACAAACTATAGAATGTTTTATCATTTGGCAGATGAATGCAGCAAACTTTTTGTAATGTACAGGCTCTTATATTTAGACTAGAAAAATAAGAAAAACTTGCAGACAGGTGACAATCTTTTTTAGACACACAATGCCTAAGAAAATAGATAATGATATGTGTTCATTATCAACAAATTGAAGAGTATGAAGAGATCAGATTGTAGATTAGGGAATGGTAAATGTGAATACACATTAATTTGATGCCTTCTCCAAGACAGCTGAGATAAAAAAAAAAGAAAACTAAAGAATAAGTAACAGACATAACGAAGTTTTTTTTTTTTGTTTCATTATGAATCCTGTTTTTTTGTCTCTTATGTGTATATCTCATATTTCATTGGAATATTGGTCTTCATATAAGACAAAGTATTAGAGAGAAAAGATGTCTATTCCTTTATTGAATAACAGGTGTGCGTTCTCTGCAGGAATGGTAATGTGAACACAGTAGAATGTGATTAATGATCCATATTCCAATTTTTAGAAAAGAGAAACAAAAGAGCCAATTCTTATGGCAAATAAAAAACACCTGCTCTTCATCGTATTAATCCGGGAAGGATGAACGTACGATTTCAGTCTATTTGTCTACAATGGCGATGCAAATATTTAGCAATTTCTCTTGATTATGAAGGAACCATAATGTTTTTTTTTTTAATAACTGACATTCATCTACACATACCTAAATGTGTGAACATTATATAAAAGTTAGAAAAAGAACAAAAGATTAATTTATATCGTGAATGGACGCAAGTTCACACGTCTTCCGTGTACCACCAATTTACATATAGAAAACAAAATACGTAGAGTTGTTTTTCAGAAAATGTGCACTGATATTAAACGGAATTGGTCAGAAGTAATACTGATCATAGCAAGAGTACACGAATAATACACATTGATCTTAAATATAAACTTCATGGAGGCGGGATATGGCACAAGGCCAATTTAAAGTGGAGACCGCAAGCGCATGAACATGGGTCAAGCCCCAAAATTGCCGGGTCCCTTTGCTGGCGACGATTTTCCATCGGTCCTCCCTTTTTGGATCAATGAGGGAGGTGCTGTCGCAGACTGCACCGGGACCAGGCATCCATCATTTATTTGTTGCGTTCTGTCCGAAGATTGAAACACAATTGTGAAATAAAATGTAGTTTGTCCGCCCTAAAACAGATACTACACCTTGATCTGAGTCAACATGCAGATTTTCTTTCTGCCGCGTTCCTTCAAGATGTGGGCGATCATGACTCATCACATCATCCTATACATTTTAACTCTTAAGTAAACTCTTTTTACTCTATCTATATTTCTGAAATTGTATTGTAACTAATGTATTATAACTATTTACACTGTTCGTATCGTTGGCCTAATCTTTATGATCATATTCAGGACGTTTCCGCCGTTGTACGTCCGGGCCTTCTTCAGGTGATATACTTTGGAATTTCGGATCCTTTATTTAGATTGAATTTCGGATCCTTTATTTAGATTGAATTTCGGATCCTTTATTTAGATTGTTCCAATTCTACACCTTCTAAGCCTTTTCTTATTAGCAACTCAACACTCCAAGATTATTTTTTTGTTCATCTGTGCTGTGGTCAGGTATTGAACTCACAACTCTTTGGGTCAAGCCACATTTGGAGTACTTCAACCAGCGCTTTTATCCACACGGTTATGTATCCTCCATTTTTACTCTTAAATAAAAAATAAACTTACGAGAGTGGTAGGTAAAAATGACTATTAGGGAAAACAATCCATCACCATCAGCACCTCCCACCCACTGGCGATAGGACTGCATATACATACATACATACATTTTGTAACCTAATAACCAAACATATGGAAATCGTGTCAAAGATTTCTTCACCCTGCACACTGGCAACTCCACCTCGTAAAAAAAAAAAAAAAAAAAATCAATTTGCTGCTGAAATCCTAGATGTGCCCTAGTATTCCACGGGGGTCGGCACCAACCAATAAATAAAGACGGTTGGGTTATACTTGTAAAATCTGAGAATAGGTAAACCTTTATTAAGTAGAATCAGTAATATTATTGTTCAGGACCTGGCGCCTGTGCTTCAATCAATTTCCCACCGCCGTAAAGTTGCTTCCTTCTGCCCTTATTTATAAATACTTTCATGGTAATTGTTCGGTTGCGCGCTTCAATATGGCATCTAGACTTTTTGAATCTAAGCGTAGTACTAGATTGGCCTTAAGGTCTCATGAATTTACTGTTGAATTGGCTAAGGGTAACCGTAAGTTCTATGCTAAAAGTTTCTTCACTCGCACTTGTCACTTCCGGTTCCATGCTGTCCAGTCAACTTTGATCTACAAAAATTTAAATGCAATGTCAATCGCTATCTACTGTACCCCTGATTACTCTTTTCTCTTCCCTTATCTTCATTATTAATGTTTCTGTTTTCAAATTCTTCCACGCCCTTGTGTGTTAGTGACTTTACTGCATTTGCATGGGCTAAATTTGATTTAAAAGAAAAGAAAAAGCAAAATAAAACATGCAAATTGCAATTTTAGTAAAACAATTTTCTATCTCATCATGAATATTAAAACTGACTCACGTTGTACGCTTTGTAATCGTTCCACGAGAGCTTTGTGCAAGGAATCGATGTATTTTATAGCTTCTTCTATCACGGTCACCTAAAAAGAGAGAATGATTTAGTGATTTTAAAAGGGATTTAATTTTAAACAAGCAGAAATTCACGCCATCTAAAGGAAAATAAAATACAGTAGACATGTACAATAGGCAAGTGTGACCAGGAATAAACATTTTTTCATAATAGAATCTCATATTTCTTTGAAATCATCCCATACAAGGCAGTAAAACCACAAAAGACACAAGAGGTTACTGAATATATAAGAAAAAAGATGAACATTTATAAGGAGCTAGAATAAAGGAAGTGTAGTCAAGAAGACAGATAACGATTTGCATTGCATTTAAAGTTTTTAGGGATCAAAGTTGAGTGGAAAGCATGGAGCCGGAAGAGAGTTCCACAAGTGAGGAGTACGAGAGAAGAAACTGTTAGCATAGAACTTACGGTTACATCTCATTAACGCAACTGTAAAATGATGTGACCTTGCAGCCAATCTAGTACTGCGCTTAAGTTCATATTATTATAGATTAAACACTCCAGACCACGAATATATATATATATATATATATATATATATATATATATATATATATATATATATTAGGATATTATACGGAGAACAGGTCAGAATCGCTACACAATTGCAGTCGTGTTTCGAAGCGTATCAATGCATCTCATTAGACGATTCTAAATTACTGACGATTTATTTACATTTAAAAGCAAAATTCAACCTCTTTTTTATGAAAAAAAGAAAACAAATATGGGTTATAAGGTTTGTGGGCTTTACTTTGATCAACCGATCAAATATAACATACGTTAAATTTAAACTAAGCGAAGAAGCAAAAATTATATATATATATGTGTGTGTGTGTGTGTGTGTGTGTGTGTGTGTGTGTGTGTGTGTGTGTGTGTGTGTGTGTGTGCGTGTATCAATTAAATTTTTTAAAGCATAATATTCGGAGTCCAATTTGCTATGTAAATTTATCCCCGTTCGTAAATCAAAAATAAAAGATGCCCATAACACGTGATCTCTTAAAATTAAAAATTGAAAGTTGTTTTGCGGCATATCAATCTCTATGCTTTATTTAATGCCGAAATTTAAATATTTTGTACGCAATTTTATTTTATTTGTGAGATAATGATGGTTTTTGTGATACAAATATTACTAATTAACCCATAGATGGTGGTAGAAACAGTGGATTAATGCCTTTCCCAAGGATATTAGCGTGTAAGTGAATATAACGAAACCCAAAGAGGAATTAGAACTCGGCTCTCCGATTAACAATTCCGAGTCATTATCCTTTACAACATCCGCAGATCCAAGCTTACAGCATCTGGCAATTCCCAAGTTTAAAAAATCAAGTGGTATGCGCATGTTTTGTTTTCGTTAACGTAGGGGAATTAATTTACAATGAATTTACATTGTAAACTGGACCCCGTATAAAATTTTATAAAAATTAATAATATATATATAAAAAAAAATCATACACGTAGTCTTAAGTGCATAATTTATAGTAATATGAAAAAAGATTTTGAAAAAAAAAAAGTTTATTTCTGGACATATTGCTTAGTGTATAACTCCATCAAAAACTTATAGTCTTAGTAAATTAAACAAAAATGGAACCCGCTTCCAGTTTCTTGGTTCCCAGACAAGTGCAATGTCAGCCGTTATCTTCTCTCTTCCTTATTTTTGTTCTTTTCTTGTTCTCTCGTTTAAATAATGTATTTTTCTCATATTCTTTAACACTTGGTAACCCGTGGCGTCTTAGCGGCTTTATTGCCTTGTTTAGGGTGAAATGATTAAAAGAAAAGTATAAATGCATGTTTACTAACTTTCTCTTAATTTGTCAACTGAAGCCGACGGCCCATTTACTATATTGGCAACAAGGTCTCATCATTTTACAGTTGAATTGGCTGGATGTAACCCTAAGTTCATTACTATTAGTTTTTTCTCCGACATTTTTCGCTTGTAGAACTCTCTTTCCGTCTTCTTGCTGCACAGTGAACTTTGATCTTCAAAAGTGCAATGTCAATCGTTATCTTCTTAATTTTTCATCTTTTATTGTTCTCTCTCTTTAGTAGTATTTTTTCTCATATTTTCTAACACTCAGTAACTCCTGGCGTCTTAGTGGCTTTATTGCCTTGCTTGGAGTGAAATGATTTAAAAAATGTCTAAATACATAAACGGACATATTTCAATAAAAAAATATGTCGATACTTAAAAAAAATGAACTACTTTTGATTTTCTTTACTTCACTTTATTTTTTTTTTTTTAATCCTGAAGATGACTCATGTGAGTCAAAACATTGGAATCGGTCTTGATTTCGGATATTTTTTGAAAGCATGCTTTCCATTTATATTTAATAGAATTCAACACAAGACAAGTACTTTTCAAAATCATTTCACCACAATTAAGGCAATAAAGTTACTAAGATGCAATGGATTACTGGATGTGAAAGAACATGAGAAAAAGAAAAAAACATTATTAAGGATAAAGAAAAAATATAAAAGAACAAGAATTAAAAAAATAACGTGAGAGAAGAAACTGTTAGCATAGAACTTACGGTTACATCTAGCCATTTCAACTGTAAAATGATTAGATCTAGCTGCCAATCTTAAATTCATATAGTCTAGTTGCCATAGACGATCATTCGTCAGAACAATTACCATGAAAATATTTATAAAAAATGCAGAGGGTAGCTATGCTATGGCGGTGGAAAAGTGACTGAAACCAAGATGCCAGGTCAGAACCAATATTATTGCAGATTCTTATTTGGATTTTATCAAGAATTTCTATATAAATAAAAGAACCACCAGACCAGATATGACAGCAATATTCAATGCATGGACGAAAGAATGACTTATAAATGTTTAAGATAGATTCGGGCAAGAAAAATTGTCTAGCTCGACATAGTGAACGAACTTTCCTAACAGTAGACCAAGAAATTGATTCGCTATAGTCCTTCCATATGTATACGGAAAACGTTGTTGGCAATCTATTTATATTCGTAAACTATCAGATGCCACAAATTCGCTTATAAGACCTGGGTTATATTTTCAGGACTTTGGGGCCACAGCTCCCAACACGCAAGGTGTGGCTGTTAGGGTTTCCCTAGTAAGTAGGTTCTTATTGGGTGATGTTGCTATCTCCATGTCCAAGCAGTATTGAGTTGTCTTTTCTCTAGCCTGGTTGCTAACCAAGACCGAAAAGTCCAGTCATCTAGAGGAATCTACGGGACGTTATTGATGGAGAGACTTGTTTTTTTTTTTTCCATTCAAAATGAATTAAGGCTGGTCGAACATTATTTTGGAAAGTCTATTTTTTTTTTCATAAATACAAACTGTATTTTTCGGGGGTGGGGGCGAGTGGGTCCCGATTAGTTCTTTGTTGAGGAGTGGACCAGCCTGACCACGGAGCTATCTTTTCGTAGGTTTATATTAAGGCCGGTAAGGTGTTAGGGAGTGCGTGTTGGATTGTCCTTCGCTTTGGTACAGGATCTTTCATTTTTCATGCTTATCCAATTACCTGTTTTTAGAAACGAAGTTAATTTATTTATTAAACTCTGTCTACTACGACAAATTAACCAGATGAATTATTTTATATTTTCAATGAGAATTAATGATTGAATTAATTTTTTTATAAATAATTTTTCAAATTTAAAAGTATTTGGAAATGGAGTAAGCAAGCATCTTTTATGGAAGAATTGGAGAAGAAATTTTTAGGATAAAAAAATGTAATGAACTTACTTTTGAAACTTTGTTGTTGTGAGCTACTGAAGGGACCAGAGTTCTTAGTTTTGAATATTCCTTGTGTCGGAGTCTACGAAGATGAAGGCGAACTCGTTTGCGAGCCAACCTTTGTGAGCTGGAACATTGGTTTTGTGAATTTGTTACCATCATCATACTGGAAAGGAAAAGAAAAACAATTAAGTTTTATTCCCAGGATGAAAAAAAAAAAATACTACGAACAATATAATTTTATTTTATTTTTTTTTAATCATTTCACCCCAAGCAAGGTGTGAATACCACTAGCACGCAAGGGTTTACAGAAAGTGAAAGTGAGAGAAAAGACTGAATAGAGGGGAAATTGAGGAGTTAATTATTATTTTTTCAGAAATAAAATATTACTTTTAAAATATTAAAAGCACTCTTCCCCGGGCTTTTGAACAGGAGTAAAGTTTTAGCTCTTGTCCCCTGTTTACGAGCGGGTTTCAGGTTCCTTCTAAAGCCTTTCGTTCTCTTTCAATCCCAATAGCCCCTTGTATTTTAATGTCATTCTCGTTTTGCTTGGGGTTGAATTGATTTAAAAAAAATCCCAATGTCTCAACTAAGGAGTGCTAGGAGTTTTCATGTTCGAAGTGACGGGATCATGAAAATTTTCATCCGATCTTTTCAGGGCCATGTTGGAAAGAGCCGAGTTCGACTTAAAGCATATACAGCCAGCCCCTCAAAGTTTGCGGTGGCATTTCCATTCTTTTCACTCCCCTTTGTCTTAGTGGCATTATCACCTTCCTTGGGGTGTATTGATTAAATTGATTAAACAAAAAAACAAAAAACAAACAAAATAAACCATAAAATCGTCTAATAAAAATGGGGTTAATTGGCAGCTTTCTCTGCCTCTTGTGCAATAATTAGCAGGAAAAATAAACTTTGTATGCGTTTTTTTTTCTTTCATTTTATTGTCTTCATCAGAAATTGATTTAGCGTACTGAAAATAACAGATGAGAGAAATATTCAGTACAAAACGGGTGATCAAATAAGTATGACAAATTTGAAGAAGTTCAACCAAAGATTTCCAACAAAAAAAAAAAAAAAAAAGTTAGGAACGTTTGAGGGAAAAAGCAAGTCAGCGACACAGTTACGTTCTGTCCCGAATAATAGGCGAAATTGTGAAGAAAAAGACTGAGAAAATATGATACGTCTCTTGGTGGGGGACACAGCTGTGGTGGAAATACAAAACGCAAAAAACACCGTATGCCTTATCTGTTTCGTTTAAACAGTTCAAGTCAAGATTGAATGTGCGAACAACGTGCCGCTTAACTGCGGAATCGTGTTCTGGCTTGTTAATACCAACTAGGACGCGAACATTGAGTCAACCGGGCAAGAGAAACGGCCAGACAAAAAAGGTGTGACGTAAACAGGAGAGAGAGAGAGAGAGAGAGAGAGAGAGAGAGGGAGAGAGGAGAATGTCACATTTTTACCCATATCGTCTAACCCCCAAAAATAATTGCTATCAAAGCAAACATTTAAGGAAGAGTTAATTGTGTTTACCCATATAGCCCTGGTGTCAGTTTAAACTGATTCATTTTTTTTTCTCATCTATCGTGACCATTTTGTTTAAACTTAATGTTTTCTTCATTTCAGAAGTAAACTTGGAAATGTTCCAACATATTTAAGTAAAAATTTTCACTTTCAAAAATCGTCCGGTTCACAATCCTCCCTGATCTTTTGAACTGGAGTAGATGTATATCCCTTGTCTCACACTCCTCCCTGGTATTAGGATTGGGTTTTCGGTTCCTTCTAAAGTCTTTTCATTCTCTTTCACTCCCAGTAGCCACTTGCGTCTTCGTGGCATTATCGCTTTGCTTAAGAACTCAGTAAAATCTACCGGAACATGAAGTGAGGGTTCTATTTTCTATTGTTATTAAGTAATAAACTGATCCCCCGTAATTAATATGATGATTGGAGATAATTCAATTGAAAATCGTAGTTCCAATTCCAGTCGGGTCCATTATTTACGCGCAAATACGCTTGGAAAAGGTATGAATCCACCTCCTCACCCTCCAGCTATGGGTTAAATAAAAGGATTTGTATCAGTAAATCATTATTATATCCAAAAAAATTCTTATATTCCAAACATTTTTATGGCTTTAAATAACCTGTAAAAGGTTGATAAGCCGTAAGAAACAAACCGATTGGAAATAATTTGGAAATTTCCAAAATTATAGTTTAAGTTGAAAGAGACGGAAAAAAAAGAAGGCGTCTGTTTTAACTGAATATTCATATCCACAGTTTACAAATATCGTAGAGAAAGGAAATATGTACAAGTTATTAAGTAGGGTAGGTTCCCAGTAAATCACTGATGACCCCCAAAACATTCCCTAGTCAAACGTCTTAGTGAAAGAAAGCTTACACATTTACACATTCAATTAAAACTGTTTCACTGTTCGATAAACATATGGTAAACTAGAACGAGTTCTTATATTTTTTTTTTATTTTCGGAGGAAGGAAAAGAATGGTAGGTATTAAAAAAAGGTACAAAACCAAATCCTTACTGAAAAACAGAAGAAATGTAGTTAAAAAAAAGAAGAAAAAGCAACAAACATTTTTAGACGGAGGCTATTGACTATTTAAAAAGATTACCCAGAGATCTCTACGACAGTGACAAAGAGAGGAACATAGACCAGGGATAAACATTTGATCTAAAACATATGGAAGCTGTTTGTCCACGACTCCGATAGTGCACTTGAAATCATGAAGTACATCGAGTTACAAAGCAAGGAAATCAGTTCTTTTTGCACGAACGACGCATTCAGAAAATAATGGGTCCTTTCTGGTTGAATTTATTTTAGACGATAATTTTAATAATTCGCTCGTCATCGTTAGTAGTAAGAAAGGTAGTAAGAAAGAGAGATAGCGAGATAGAGAGAAGGAAAAGGAGAGTAGTAAAAGAGAAGTAAGAGAGAGAGAGGGGGGTAAAGAGAGAAGTAAGAGAGAGAGAGGGGTAAAGAGAGAAGAAAAAGAGAGAGAGGGGTAAAGAGAGAAGAAAAAGAGATAGAGGGGTAAAGAGAGAAGAAAAAGAGATAGAGGGGTAAAGAGAGAAGAAAAAGAGATAGAGGGGTAAAGAGAGAAGAAAAAAGAGAAGAAACAGAGAGAGGAGTAAAGAGAATAAAAAAGAGAGAGGAGTAAAAAAGAGAGAAGAAAAAAGAGAGAGAAGAAAAAAGAGACAGGAAGTAAGAGAGAGAATAAAAGAGAGACATGAGTAAAGAATGTAAAAGAGACAGGAGTAAAGAGAGAAAAAAGAAACAGACAGCATTAAAGAGAAAAAAAAAAGAGAAAGAAAGAGACAAAAGTAAAGAGATAAGAGAAAGAAAGTGACAGAGAAAGTCCATTCTCTCAGAATACGCACACACACTCACACACAAAAGTAGGTACACACCTTGCGCCCTACCCTGGCACAATTTGACAAATGACTTCCAGATGGCCGAAAGGTTGCCCACCCACAGGGCGCTTGGAAAGATTTTCGTCAGACATTCAAACTCTTGTGGTCGTTCTATGCCCGCTTCATTGAATCAACAGGCAATGAACGGAAGCCTATGTTATCATTTGCTAGGCAATAAAGACGAACTCGTCTCAAATATGACACTGCACCGGTATCATAGATACGAGGCTAATATTGATGGTGTGAGCGGTAAAAGGAGATAATGTCATAATTCTTTCAATGAACAGTAAGAAAAGAAAACGCCCTGGTAAAATATTACTTTTTTTTTATTACTAATCATGCACTAAGATTTTTTCCTTTAGAAAATAAAGCAATCCCATCAGCCTCAAATCGATATAGGCCAAAAAAAATACAAGAAGTATAGGTATTTTATTGATAAGTATATTTTGTTACTGAAGGAATATAACTAAAATTAAAAAAATCAGAATGATTTAAGAAGCATTTACTGACAATTAAAAAATATTTTGTAAATTCTTTAGTAAAAAAGATATCGAAATGATAATCAAAAAACTGCAAGGTTTATAAAATCACACATATGTCAAATTCCAGTTATTTCAATTAGTTTTCTATTTTTGAATTTTACGATTAGCCTAAGCAAAGTGCAAACAGTAAACTATTATTGAAATTATAAGCGTAACACTGGAAAACAAAACAGAAAACATGTAAGACATGATTTCCCTTGTTGCTAAATTTTCACGAAATCTGTTTTTTTTTTGTTTTTTGTTTGTAAAAGATTAAAAGATGAGACTGAGTTATTTACTGATGTTTAAAACAGAGAATAACATTCACTTATAGAGTTTTATTTTTTGTGCCATAAAAACTTCGTGTCAGCGGTGAAGTCAATAGTTGGGTCCGAATAATACAGGTCGGTGATCAAAGTTGGTTCCAGGTATTATTATAAATTGTGTGTATATAGAACGCAGCAGCAGCAGCAGTAAAGTTGCTCTGATGAGTGGGTCAATTCCGTCACTCATCCCGACAAAGAATGGAAACATATGAAGACGAAAACAGAAGAGGGTGGAGGCAGGTAAGCAGAGAGAGAGAGAGAGAGAGAGAGAGAGCGAGAGAGGGAGAAAGAAGAAGAACAACAACAACAAAAAAAAGTCAGACTACCAAGCAGCTGCAATGCAAATAAGAAGCAACTGACGTTAGCATATGCCGTGGAGGATTACGTCTCAGTTATAATTATTATGATAATAAAATCAAAAGATTTTTTTAAAAAAAGAAGAACGAAATAGAAGCAAAAAAAAAAAGACTAAAACAAAAAAAAAAATCCTGCTGAAAAATATTTTTCTTAAAGTAAAGCGTTCTTTTGAAACATTACAATCACCATCTTATATTATATATATATATATATATAGTATATATGTTATTACTACATATATATTATATATATTATATAATATATATATATATATATTATATATATATATATATATATATATATATATATATATATATATATATATATATATATATCACGAGAAACGTCAGCTTAAGGAAAAAGTAATATGATTCATTATTTAAGCATACACACATTTATATCTCGTTTTTGAATCTGATGAAGTCTTGAATGGTGAAACGTGGAGTCAAATCTATTTTCAATGAAACATTTTCTACTTGTCAAATTTAGTAAAACTTTGTCGGGATTTTGTATCCTATTTAAAAAAAAAACAACATATGTATATATATATATATGATTACAAGACAAAATCTACTCTTAGCCATTCTTGTCTTTTAGTTTTACCCATTTTGTTCCTTTGCAGATATATTATCTGAAAATAATTGGGGATGCAAAAGTAGGTATACAGTAATGAAAACGAAACGAATGCACAAAACGTATTGTATTGAATATTGATTATACAAAACAAATATATCAATATAATACTGGCAATACTGGTAAATACTCGTTGTATATCTATTTTTGCGACCTACTGTATATAAATAAGCGTGTCAGTTATTAATGACCGTATGATTTTTTACTCCCTAGACAATAAAATTTAAAAAAATAATGAAATAAAATAATAATAATAATAATAATAATAAAACGAAATGCAAGCTTTTTAAAAAGTGGAACATATGAAAGATAACTGAACACAAAGTTAAATGTTTAAAAACTAAGCGATTTTTTCTAATAAATGCTCCGTAAATAATGCCAACATGTCTTTTTTCAGTAAATATATATTTTTTTATGAAGTCCATCATACGGACTCGATTTGTTTTATATTTGGATCAAAGACAATTTTCTTATAATTTTCTCTGGCATGTAAGTAGCCAATTTATTGTCTATGTCGGTTATAAAACTGAAATTATTTTTCCTTGTGCTTTTTGTTATTATTTTAAACGATAGAAATGAGAAAAACTGAATACCGGAGCTTGAATCTTTGATGAAAAAGTAAATAACTTTAAACGTTACTAGTGGATACTTCGTATTTGCAATAAACGCCTCATTTCTATTTTAAACAGTGTGTACTACGGTTAAAAATAAATCTATTAATTCTTTATAAACAATGTTTAAAAATGATCTGACTCCACTCTTCTCCTATATAGAAACTTTTAATTAAATATTTATATTGTAATTATAAATATATATATTTACATTTTTATATATCTTCACGCACACATAATTGTTAATATTATTCTATATTACAATTAATGTGTGGCAATCACAATGTCTGTTTATAAATATAAGAATAAGATGTTTTAAAATTGAGATTTACGGACACTCCACTGTCCTTTTTCAACGAGAACATTCCGATTTACTCATGCTTCAATTTGGTCAAAAAGTCGATTAATATACCATATGATAAATTAGTTTCATTATCAATATTATTACCATTTTTTTTTAAATCTCTCGTATCGAATGTTTTCATCGGCTTCAGAAGCATACGTGACCAATTTTTGTTTACTATATATTTTTAAGTCATGGAAGGGTAAGAAACTAGTTACTAGAATTAAACAAAAAGCTCTACGTTATACATCGAGCACTTTTGTTATTCTATACACACACACACACACAGGTTTAGCTTAACGGTCTGACTTTGTTAAAACTCATAGTTAAAAAAAAATATATGAAAACATGACTATACGGGGGACAACAAAATATCAAAATAAATGTTAATTATCATTCTCAATTAATAACAACAAAAGCACTCGTGAAATACCCTTGAATTTAAACAAAATAAGATTATCATGTCCTGATGTCCGAGGACTACAATATGTCAAGAAATAATGATGGGATTTTTAAATTAATATTTGTGTGACTAGGTGAATTGAAGTTTTCGACATCGAGTTTGATTTTACAGCTGAATTAATGATTTTTGCAAACCATTCTTGGATCTATCTTGGAAAGAATTACAATTACAATACATACAATAGTTCGTGAACCATACCCACAAATATATAAAAAAAAATGGAATGTTGTCGTCATTTCCCTCGTAATGAAAGCACATGTAAAAATGATACAGTTTGCTTGTTGTTTTCTGATGTCTAAAAAACTTAGATGACAAAATATTTTTATTTTAAATGACAGGCATCGATTGAAATTTTATTTTCTTCTAAATTTGCGGGTACATGAAAAATAAAGGCTTCATATCTCTTACACACGTAATCTCCCTAAAAGATCTTTAATTTAGCTGTAATTAAATCAACTGTATATATATATATATATATATATATATATATATATATATATAAACAAACATACATACCAAACTATGAAAACAGATTGTAAACAATAAACAGAGACATATGCCACGTAATTTCTTATTTCCAACTATGACAAGTTTTTAAAAAATCGCTTTTAATTTTCATGTTATTATTTTTCCTTTTTCTTTAACGGATTTTCATAAGGTCAGGCAGTCCATTAGACAAACCATATCTAAAAGTATTTAGCAATTATCTACATAAAAGAATGCATTTGTGAATAAGTCTGCTGTATGAATTTACCAGATGGCTTTTTAATTGTTACGGACAATTCAACCATCTGGGAGTTTAAACCGAATCTTGTCCGGTCTTAAATTAATTTAATTAAATGATCATCGAATTAACATAAACTGATATAAATAAAGCAATTAAAAAATGTAAATAAAAAATTGGTCTTACTTGTAATTGTTAATAATCTCGTGATCAGTGGAATTATGTCTTTTTGCAAGGTGTTTTCTAACATGCAACTAGCAGCCTCAATGATATGCGAGCTTTATCGGCCAGTGTCTGTTTATATACAAGCAGTGAGCGCGCTACACCAACCTAACTACACCACGAAAAAATAGTCCACTAACCGATGATGAATAGGTGCAAACATCAAAGTATTAAGGAAATTATTGCTGATTTTAAACATCAACCTCTTGAAATAATGTAAACCGATATGTTTAATTAATTTTTACGGCAGTAAAAATAACTCTCTAGCTTGCGTATATAAATTTGTTCAATGAAATATTTGTCGCTGATTGCGCGGAGTGAACAGGCTAACAGGGCTAGGAAGCTGCACTTGACCAATCAGAACGCTCAATGATGAGGGTCGAGTGACGTCATTTTAATCAACTGCAGAGCACTCAGAAGATTCGTTCTTTTTTTCTTTCCTTTTCTTTTCTTGTTTTTTTTTTTCCTTTCCTTTTTTTTCTCGGACAGAATAGAAACACGTGTTCTGCATTTATATCTCGAGTCCGTCTCAAATTCAAGGCAAAACATGTGTTTGAGCTTCTGTTTGTGCTTACAACACATTAATTTCATTCTGTTAATCCTCCGATGTGGGCGCATGAACCAAACGGACTCACTTCGGGGTTACACTTTCTTAAGGTTAGTAGTGGGGGATGGCAAAATTTGTACTAAACTCGTGCTAAAAATGCAGGCTTTGAATGGGGAACACATTAACACCGTGCATTGTAAAAAGATAGGGAAGAAATTTAAGGAAAATTTACAAGAATTACACACATAAGACCACCATCACAATTTTATGAACTTTAGATATGTGATATATATATATATATATATATATATATATATATATATATATATATGTAATGCTACGTTTCTGCAGGAATTAAACGATCATGGCCCTCCACTGCTTCCTTTTTAATATCTATTAATTCCCAGTGCTGTTGTTGGGAAACGTAATGACGTCGTTTTGTCATCTTCTTTACTGTCTTGAGTGAGCAGCTGTCCTTTTAGACTGGTTGTAATATATATATTTTTTTATTTGTTAGTATAAAATAATTAAATATAACGATTAATAAGTGTAGATAACTGCAAATAAGTAAATATAATAGTCTAAGTTTGTATTTTACATTTCTTTTGGGAGAATTAACCAAAAGAAAGCCAAACTGTTTATAAAAAAATAAATTTGATGTGTTATTTGTCTGTAAAAATTACTAAATTTACAATATTGGCATTAAAACAGTGATTTACAATTACCGTGCCGCGGCACGCTAGTGTGCCGCACGATCTACTTAAGTGTGCCGCGAATGTATGATTGGATTCGAAATCCCTTCATAAATGTTCCTTCTAATATTAGTCTTCAGTTATGTGAAGAAGAATAACTGGCTATCATTTCTAGGGATAGAGAGCTCAAAATAAAACATTCAACGGTATCCATTGGTATATTGTGGATTTCAAGACAAAAGGAAAATTTCACGCTAGCTAAAAAAAAGACTTTATCAGTTTTATTGCAACTTACTATTTTTTACTTATGTGAATGAGGCTTCTCAACTGTAAATAACATCAAAAATAAGAAGCGAGAAAGATTACGCTCAACTGAAGAAGAAATGATCGTCTGCTTATCACACATTCGACCAAACATTGAAGAAATAGCAAAAACACCCTCTGCACAGGTTTTCCCACTAAATAAGCTGCACAAACTGTTGAATAGAAACATTGAAATAAAGTAAGTTCATATTTTTGAGTGTATTTTTTAAAAATCTATGGTTTTGTTTCATAACAGTTAAGTGTATATCCTTTAAAAATTGTTTAAAGTGTGCCGGGATATTTTCATTTGCTCCTAGCTGTGCCGTTGCTTAAAAAGAAGGGTCGAAAATAATTCGGTCAAGCTGGACTGTTTCAAAAGTCATTTTTTCAAATTTGAAAAATATATACTCTTTGTATTTATTGTCCAATCAAAAGGGGTGGCTTCCACCCACGTAATTTT